CTCTTTTCTTGATCATGACTTTCAGGTAGTTCAATAACTTTTAAATTATCTCCCCTGGTTCTATTTTCCAGGTGAGTTGCTTTTCAAATGAGATATTTCACATTCTCTTTTATTTTTTTTTCTTTTTCTTTTTTTGTTTTGTTGAATTGTTTCTTGATTTCTCATAATGTCATTAGCTTCCATTTTAATTTTTAAGAAATTATTTTCTTCAGTGACCTTCTGGACCCCTTTTTCCATTTGATCAATTATTCTTTTAAAGGAATTCTTCTTCCCATTGGTGTTTTGGACCTCTTTTACCATTTGGCCAATCCTGTTATTTAAGGTGTTATTTTCTTTAATAATTTTTTGTCTCCTTTACCAAGCTGTTGACTCTTTTCCCATGATTTTCTCACATCACTCTCATTTCTCTTCCCAATTTTTCCTCAACCTCTCTTACCTGATTTTCAAAATTCTTTATGAGTTCTTCCATGGCTTGAAAACAATATTTTTTCTTGAAGATTTTAGATGTAGGAGCTTTGACTTTGTTGTCTTCTTCCGAGTGCATGTTCTGCTCTTTCTTGACACCATATTAACTTTCTATAGTCAGATTTTTTTCCCACTGTTTGCTCATTTTCACAGCCTGTTACTTGACTTTAAACTCTTTGTTAAAGTAGGACTTTGCTTCTAGGGTGGAGGATGTACTGTCCCAAGCTTCAGGGGTTTTGTGCAGCTATTTTCAGAGATACTTCTAGGGACCTGTAAGTTTTCAATTCTTCCAAGGTAGTATGAACTAAGAAGAATGGTGTTTACTAATCTCCTGGCCTGTACTCTGGTCTATGAGTGACCACAAGCACTCTTTTCTACCCTACAACCCTGAGGAGGGTTCTACCTTTACTGCTGCCACAAGCTGTGCTGTGCTAGTGCTCCTCCTTGCCCTGGGACTGCCACCCAGAATTATGACCTAGATTTGCATATGGGCAAAGCAACAGTCTTATCTCAGTGTTAGCAAAAATGACCCCAATAATCTCCTTCTACCAGTTTTTTGACCCCTTTACCATCTGTGGACTGAAAGCCTTGGAAGCAGCCACTAGTGCTGCCACTGCTGCTGATGATTCAGTCACTCCTAAGGCTGATCCTGGTTTGCTATGGCCAGGGATGTGCTGGTACAGACTGTACTGCACCATGCTCCACTCTCCCCTAGGTACAATAGACCTTTCCTGACAACTTTCTAAGTCATTGTTGGAATTTGTGGGCCGAGATATCTTGAACTGCCACTGCTTCCAGTGATTCAGTTACCCCAAAGCCTTCTCTGGGTTTGCTAGGGCCTGGTCTGCACTGGTGTGGCCTACACTGGACTGTGCTCCTTTTTCGCCCTGGTGCAACAGACCTTTCCTCATGACCTTCCAAGTTGACTTGGGCTGGAAATTTGTTTCACTCAGTGTTTTTTATTTTTTCTGCTGCTCCAGAATTTGTTTAGAGTCATCTTTTAAAGGTATTTGGAGGGGTTTGGGAGAGAGATCAGGTGAGTCCCTACCTTTACTCTGCCATCTTGTCTCCACCCCCCCCAGGTTAAACATCTCTTAATTCAGACGAGCAATGGTCTCCCATTCTATATTTTTTTTTCTCTCCATCTTTCTCCTTTCACACTGAAACTCTTTGTTGTTTGCTGACAATACAGCCTTTTAATGCTTCTGTTGTAAATGTTGGTAGGACATTTCTTTTCATTGAATTAAATTGACATGATTTGGTCAGTATGACCAAGATTAGTTAACTGTGGTTTTAATTGGTCTCTATAAGCAATACATATGGTTCTAAGAAAAGATAATTTGAGGGTAATTGTCATACAGACAACAACTATATTCACTGAAAATACAGTCAAGAGATGTGACTTGACCAGGTACTAGTTGTATGACCTTGAGTAATTCTCTGAGTTCCAATTTCCTCATCTGTACTGTCATAGCAGAGCTATGTTCAAATCCTATCTCTGACACTTACTATATGTCTTTTGGGAATTTAATACCCTTGATCCTCAGTTTCCTCATTTATGAAATTAATTTTGAACTAGGTGACCTCTGAGGTCCCCTTCAGGTCTATAGCTAAGACTTTTGTATTAAAGAACTATTGTGAAGATCAAATGACATAATGCATATAAAGTGCTTTGTAACTGTTACATCATCTATGTGTTGTTTATCCTTCAATTTGAAGAAGACCAATGACATTATGGATGATCTCTTGACTTATGTGTAAATTGGAATTTAAGTGAGGCAGAATTGTATGAAGTCATCAAACCTCACTCTCTCTTCCATAGTTATCAAAATCCAGTGGCGAGACAAAAGTCAAAATGACTGGTGATGACCTGGGATGCAGTAGATGACCTTGGTGTCTTCAATGTCTGACTAACCTCTAAGCACTCGATACTGCCTCCTTCAACCACTTTCATGGCTATTGCAACAAATTATTCTCATCTTCCCATTCTGCTAGGGGAAATCTTCATGTGTTTGGGGTAGACATCCCTCTATTTCACTGACAGGTTGGAAGCCTTTCAATTATCCTCAATCTGGTTTTGCCCATCTGCAGAGATGGTTTTCTGGGGTGTGGTCACTGTACATGCTACAGCTTCTTAGGGCCATAGGTGAGAGTTGGGTGAATGTAGAACACCAAAAATGGATGAGCAACCCTGAAAAAACTCAGTAAGTCCTCACACCAAAGGTGCTTGTCCTCCTTGAACACATCCATTCTTTTCCAGGTGCTCCCAATATGGAAAGGGTTTGTGAACAGGGCCAGTGATGGTGATGAACTTTTCATCACTCATCTTGGGATTAACTGTAAAGATGGAAGGAAATAAGCATTTGTTAAGCACATGCTATATACCAGGCACTTTGCTGAGCAATTTACAAATATTTTCTAATTTTATCCTCATAATAAGCCTACACTTTAGATGCTATCACTACATCCATTTTACAGTTGAAGAACTGAAGTGTCTTGCCCTGTATCACACAGCTGGTAAGTATCTGAGGACACATTTGAAATTATGTCTTCCTGACTTCAGGCTTAGCACTCTATCCACTGAGCCACATAGCCGCCTCTATAAAAGTAGAATTTTTCACCAGAAAGGTTGATACCAGCTACAGCAATTCATGATGACATTTATTAAAGCTTCCAGGGAATTCAGTCTGCACACCTGACTAGAAATGCCCATACAGAGGAAATCAGAGAACATTGAGGTATTGAAGAAATGTGAGGTTTTGTTTTTATTCTTATTATTTCAGGTACTTTCTTTACCTAGAAATTTATTATATACTTTGTATGGATTATGATCATTAGGAATTAGTGAGAGGATTAATATTTTTGGATCATGAGTATCAAGGAATATAGTATATTTTTATCCAATAAGTACACCTAGCTCTGGGAAGGTGCCCCTGGATCTGACCTGAAGCAGATCAAAGTACTTGTTGTCAAAATGCTTTTTGAGACAACAAGCCATTTCTTTCGTTCTAGTAGCTATGAAGTGTATATGTAACCTTGGTGAAGAATATAAGTATATATGGGGAAATACATATGGACTCACACTGGTCTTTTCTACTACCTATGTTTTTGTAGACAAACAGTACTGTGCTGTATCTACCCCATAGGCACTCATTAAGTGCTTGCTGACTGAGCTTGCTGACTATCAGTAACTTCCTCTAATGTGAAGGTTGCTGTAAGTTAAGATTATGTGACAGGATGTGCATACCCAGCTCTTGCTTTTACCAAAAGGCTGTACCTGTCCCTGCTCTCCACAGATGAGAAGAGGCAGACACTCTGACTGGCTGCTTTCAAAAACTGCCTGTTCTCATTCTTCATGGTACTAGCCCTTTCCATATTTACGGCAATCTAAATAGAAAGACCACATTAGAAGAAATGACATATTATCCCCAGGGGCTCTCCTATATATAACATAATAAGAAGACAAGGGAGATAGTGCTATAGAAGAGAGTCCAGGGCTTTCTCCACAAGGGTAACCAGTAACAGATTATGACAAAAGGTGAAATCTACAGATACGTGACATCTAACAATAATCAGCTCACATTGATATAATGGTTACCATTTTATAAAATACTTTCTTTACAACAATCCCATGAAATGAGTGTCACAAGCAATAATGTTTTTATTTGAAAAATATAAGAAAATAATGATTTTGGGTGTTTATGTGATATATCCAAGGTCCAGTAGCTAATGGACTAATGGAAAGACTAGATCTGGAGTCAGAGGGCTTGAGTTCAAATTTTCACTCAGCTAGTATGACATTAGATGAGTTCTATAACTTTTCTGTACTTTTATCTTTATAACAAGGGGGTGGGACTGTATGGTCCTAGCTCTAAATCTGTCTATAATCCTATGAAGGACGAACAGCTTAGATAGAAAGCTAGGGTTTGTGATTCCAAATCTAGTTTTGTGTTCCATGTGTCTCTCTCATAAGATGACCCTACCACTTTATGAGTGTTAACTGGCCAGTACTTGGGACCAATGAGAAAAGAATAATGTCCTTTTTGATGACCCATGTGATTATTTTTCAAACCACTATTCTGTAAGTAATGTTAAAAAATCCCCATGCTTAAATCAACTACCAGACTTTCAAAATGACAATTAAACCCTTCGCTAATTGAGAAGGGATTCTCCCATGGGGGGGGCAGTTTATATGTCCTTAGTTCTCTTGAAGTTTTGGGATTCCATGATTCTATGAATCCTTTGTATTACTTTGTATCAGCATTTAGCATAACAAGGTTTTTTGGGTTTTTTTTTTTTGCATAGCAAATGAACATTTCCATATCACATGCAATATAAATGTAGCATACATTTGTTACAGATGCTGCAGTATGCCAACCAGCCTAAACCCATTATTGGAGAGCATGTTGAAGTCTGGCTTTCATTTTACATTGAAAAATTCCTGTTCTGACACTCTCTTGGGGGCCAAACAGAAACCACACATCTTGCATGTGACATGGATGAGATACAGGCATCCCACTGGGTCTGAGATAAAGATGTTCAAGCCTCCCTCTATCTCCCTTCTGGTACAAACGATACATCCAGAAAGGATCCAGCTGACTAATGGCATGCCAATTCCAGATCCAGAGGATAACAAGCAGAGAACAAAGAGTACAGCTATGGGCTATATCAGGCACAGGTGAGCTATACTTGTTCCATATTGTCTCTGGCTATCATAGTAGCAACCACTTCAAGATTCCTAACAATGAAAGTTTTTGAGACAACTGTCAGAAATACCACAGGCATTAACCAGTCTGTGGCCCCTTACTTCAAGATCACTTTGGATGCTGTACTCTGGCTAACTAATGTAGTAGTTTACCCCAGAGCAAGATAGCATAAACAGGGAGGACTAAGAGACAGGTTTGACACTCCTTAGCTAACCTCAGTCCTAGATGCTAAGATGGAATAGGACTATTATGCCCTCTACTGTCAAGGAAGCTTAAGGGGGAAGAAAGAAAGGAAAGAAAGGAAGAAAGAAAGAAAGAAAGAAAGAAAGAAAGAAAGAAAGAAAGAAAGAAAGAAAGAAAGAAAGAAAGAAAGAAAGAAAGAAAGAAAGAAAGAAAGAAAGAAAGAAAGAAAGAAAGAAAGAAAGAAAGAAGGAAACTGCAAAGGCTTATTGTCCATCAGCATGCAGGTGGTGTCAGATACTAAGCATCTCATCAGTGCAGCTAAGTACCTGGAAGCAAGATCGGGATTTATACATTTTCAAGTATTCTTCTTTGGCTGCTGCATCCAAAGATGAGGAGTTCAATATATAGTGTCTTGGGGGAAAACAGAGATACCATCTCAGCGCTCAGCTGTACCAAAAAGTTTAGTGATAAAACCACTGCTTTGGGTTTTTTTTTCCAGCTTTCTTACAGGTTCTTGACAATGTCAGAAGTTAAATTATTTTTTAAGAAAAAAGAATAACTATAAATGATAACATTAAAATTAAATTTACAATTAAAAGACTGGATTTCAGTGTCTTACTAAAACAATATCTTCTTGTTTCCTAAGTAGAGTCCTTCAGGGTTGTATTTTATGGGGGGAGGTGAGAGTTCAATGAGTACTACCTAACTTGTGAACGTAGCAAGGATGAAGGCCCAAGGGATGTGCTGCTAAATGTTTAATAACTGGCTCTCTAGGGAAAATATAAATGTTTATACATGTTGTACTTTTATTTATAATCTGCCTTATTAATATCTTCTTCATCACTTTCTTTAATGTAGATAATCAACAAAAATAAAGCAAGGCCTGATTTGTAGCATTTAACAATTTCATAGGTGGTAAGTGATAATACTGACATTTTAACAATGGGCTCTCATGATCTGGTACAGCTTTAGCATACCACTGGATGGTGGGAGGAGAGAGGGAGAGAGACAGACACACAGACAGACAGACAGATAGACAGAGAATGTTACAACTTGATTTTGAGACTGAGACTTTATAGGCTTATAAGAATTTTAGTAAGAATTTTTCTGTCACAGGCCATAGATGTTGAGATGTATTATGTCCCTCAATGGATTTTAGTTCTCAAAAAACTCATAGATTATATTGATTGAACACTATGTGCATAGAAGAAATTTTAGTGAAGTTTAAACCTTGTCTAAACAATATCCCAAATTTATATTCATTAAAGTCACTTTTTGAATTTGGTGTTGTACAGGGAAAATAAACAAGCCTTTAGATGACTATTACTCTTCATTCAAATGTTCTATAGACTAAAGTAGGCCAAAACTTCCACTCTCACTCTTAGTCTAGAATTATGAATCTTAAAATTCTATATAGCTAGGGTCATGACATGTGATTTAGGTGGCATAAAGAGTACCAAGATGAGTAAATTCTCTCTAACAATGTGGCTCCACTTTCTCTGCAACATATAGTCTTGCAGAATAAGGTGCTGAGACTTTTAAGTGGCTTTCCAGGGGTCATGCAGACCAGTTTGAAGAGCCTCTCTCTAACCATTATGCCTTGTTTCATCTCAGACAATTCCATAGTTTATGGTAATTCCTTTCCCCTCCACTGGCCACCTCCTAGGAATATTAAGGCAGGAGTTTGTTTTGGAAATGAGCCTATGATGTGGCACCGTAGTTGGGTGAGTTGTAAGAAAGTAAAAACTAAGAAAAAAAAAGAGACACATGAAAATGAAGGAGTCATATGGTAAGAACAAGGGATAAGTGATATCATTGGTGGAGCCTTGGGTCCTACTACTCTCTCAATGGAAAGATAAAGCAAGGAAGGATTTAAGCATAATGAATAGACAAACTTATGGGAGAAGATGGGCAAGAGACCTACATGGATGGGTTACCTACACGCATCATCAGAGGGTACATTCACACTCATTAGATTGTAGCTCATTTTGTGTATATTTGAGTTTCTGTATTAAAAATCTGTTTAATCTAGTTCCAGGTTTGGTATCTGTGTGAAGGGTAGGTGACAGCTCCCACAGATGTCAGTGCAGGACACTTCTTGAACATCACAGGAGTGTGTGGTATTAGGGAGAGGGGAGGGGGGAAGGAGGCATAGCAGAAACCTTTGCTTTACCTGACACCTTACCAGCTCCCCCAGACTGCCAGATAGAATGAGTAGGAGAGTACTGATAAGCAGCAAGAAGCATGGCTGCTGAAGTGTGATTTTAATTGACTGCCAACTTATACTCACCTGCATATATCTTTTCTTTATAAATACTTATGGGAAAACCCAGTGCAGGGAGATCCTTTGGCAGACTGGCACATTGGAAAGATGAGAGAAAAAAACTTCTTGTTAAATATCAGCAGTGAGAGAGGATTCTGAGAAGCTGATGGAGTAGGTCAGAAAATTCCAAGCTCTCAAGATTTTCTCCCATGAAAGAGAGAAAATAGCACCTTAATGCAAACAAAGAAATAAATACGAATAGGGGTACAACAGGAGTCTTCCTGGAACAATTTAAGATTAGAAGAAAAATCTCAGAACAAGGTTTGGTCCCTGTGAACAGTAAACATCTCCAGGCTAGTGGCCATGTTAACAACAAGCAGCAAGCCCTGGGGTTAGCTGGTTTGGGAAGCTGTATATGTATATATCTATGGCTACAGAGAAATATATCCACACTCAATTGTAGCCTTGGGGTGGGGGGAGAGGGGGAAGAAAAAAAAAGTTAAAAAAGTACACAGCAGAGAGCAAAAGAAAACTTATAAGGAAGTAAAGATGGACAGCTCCCAACACAATGTGTAGTATTTATCTTACAGGCTTTCTTGAGATGAAAACTTATTATTACATATTTTTAATCCTTTCCTATGTTGTACTATACACATGACATCTTTTTTTTTTCTTTTCTTACTTTGTAATTAAGTTCCAATATTAAAGTTTATGATATTTTTTTTCTTTTTCTTTTCTGTATTCAGTATTTGTGTTCTGGTGTTTGAGTCTAAAATACAATTCAATTAAAAAAATGAACAGTGAATAGGGATTGGTAACTTGTCTTTGCAGCAATGGGGCAGGGAGCATTTTTCAACCCAATGGGCCTGGCTGTAGGCTTGTCTAATAATGTATTTGCAGAGGAGAAGAGAAAAATATTCACTGAGTTTATAGTAAATGGGGAGATGAACATTCTCAAATTTTTCTTTAAATTGACTGGAAGAAAGTGCCATCAGGAAATTATTAGTATTTAATATATGAGGTATTCACACATTATAAGTGTATGTATGAATAAATTTATATATGTACGTATACTTTGGAAATGGGTAGGTGTCACCTGGGCTGGAGAATTTTCACTGTGGAAACTCTATCCACAAATACAGATTAGCAAATTGTCTGTAATTTATTATCTTAGAGAATTGCCTGGGGGCACTGGAAGGTTACATGATTTGCCACTTTACCAACATTACTAGAATATGTCAGAGAAAAGACATGACATTGATTCAAAGACTGGCTCTCTATACCTACTATAATACCTACTGTACCATGTTGCCTCTTGCTTTTTAGATATATTTCTATAAAGACTTTCATTGTCCAGACAGCATCTGTTAACAGAGTTCAGAGTGTCTGTAGCTCCTATAAATTCTGCTATGTGTGATAATGTGTTAATACTAATCATCCTGCCCTACTTTTTCTCTTAGAAGCAGGTATGATATAGTGAATATTAGAATAACTTAATTATATTCAGAAGACCTTAGTGGTCCACTGGTTATTTTCTTGGTTAGGACGAAATATAAAGGTACTCGAAGCAGAACTATCGTTTACTGTCTTCCAGAGGCTGAAGACAAATGAGATCTGGCCAAAGCTTGTAGAGAATGTAGAATATGGCATCAGTGGCAGCAGGATAAGAAGATGAAAGGCTCTTCCAAGAGCTAACATGGATTGTGCCTGAAATAAGACCATGAAGAATGTTTCCCTGGAACAAGAATATGAATCTGGGTGAAGAGTAAGTTTCACAGTTTCACATACACAAGTGTGGTAGGAGGAGCCCGCAACCAGATTGTACACCGAATGGAGAGGCATGAAATAACTTGTGACATGGGCCAGGTGGAGCAGAATTACTGACTCAGTTTATTCATCTGAGGGTACAGGATATATAGAGAAAATCTAACCTAACTTCAAAAAGTCCTCCCCATGAGACACTCCCCAGAACATCTGCTGAGGATGTGAAAATCATGAATTTCCTTGTTATCAGGGTTCCTACATTGGGTTGTAAATTCCAAGGTTTTCCCGGGTGCCTTGGTGCCACCTGCATAGAGGAGTGAATGTGTAAATCTAAGGTTCAAAGAGTGAGAAGGAATGTCTCAGTAACCTCCTAAGCAGGAAGGAATTGGAGAGCCGTACCATTTAATCATTGAGTCCTTTTGTGTAAAAGCCTGGGCAGAGGTCAAACTCTGCCTTGGCTCTTAAACCCTTATCAGACTCTTAAGATCAGCCCTCAACATCCATCAGGAAACTCTACATAATCATAGGCTATATTAGCCTTCTGATGAAATGGACCTTCAAGGCTCTGTGAGAGACATCACCATCAAAATACAGGAAGCCTTTAGATCTCCAGCCTGTGGACTTTGGCAGTTTATTTAACCTGCAAATTACCCAGTCAACAGCTGGCATGAACTTCAAAATATCAAAAGAATCTGATTGAATTTATATCTGCAGTTGCTAACTTTCAAAAAATAAAACCCACAAAAACTAAAACTTGACAAGCAATGGGAGAGAGAGAAAGAGAGAGAGAGAGAGAGAGAGAGAGAGAGAGAGAGAGAGAGAGAGGCAGGGGAAGGAGAGGACAGGAAAGGAGAGGAGAGGAGAGAGGCAGTGAAAAGTAAGCATTCCTATTCTACCTCTAACATCATATTCATATACATACATATATATATGATATATATGTATACATGTGTGTATATATATATACATGTATATATATGTATATATATATATATATATATATATATATATATATATATATATATTATTTATCTTCTTTCCTTCTTTTTTACTACTTAGGCTTTAGATGAAATGCATTCCTTTTAAGGTAAAGGAGGAACATTGAAAAAATATATTTTATTGTGACCAAGAACCTAGCTTAGAAATTTCTGACATTGTTCTAGTTTAGAATCTAACTGGTATTGAAGTCTTTCCTCTGACACATACTGGCTTTGTGACCCTAGGAAACTCACTTAATCTCTAAATGGCCCAAGCAACTACCTCAGTCTGTAAGTTATGGAGTAATGTTGATCTGCTTTGGAGAAAGGAATTTTCTCACCTGGAGTATGGATAAAATGTTTTCTTAACACAAATGAAATCTTAAATTTAGACCAAAATTATTCCAGCACTTTAAGAGAGTGTTTTGCACATTATAGAGATACAATAGATATTTTTTGTTTGTTTAATGATATATGTAGGTTGACAATATGAAGAGAGAGTATACATTAGACCTTTTACGCTCTGCCCATTCCCTAGGTCTTCAAATGTCTTTGTCATCAGTAACCATATAATGATTCATTTTTCTTCTTCTTCTTTTTTTTTCTGAGGCAACAGAGGTTGTGATTTTCCCAGGGTCACACAGCCAGTAAGTGCCTGAGGCTGGATTTAAATTCTGGCCCTCCTGACTCTAGGGCTGGTGCTCTATCTACTGTACCACCTAACTGCCCCTGTAATGATTCATTCTTTGTCTTTCTATGGGTTATGATGGTTGAGGACTGGGAATATAGTCTATCATTAGGGGATATGGTTTGGATAGGACAAACTAGAAAAGTCAGTCCATAATTAGAACCATCAATTAACCATCAATAATGTATCTACAGACACTCATCCCCCTTCTGTTCCAAACAGGAAAAAAAAAACCAGAATGAAACAGCATTGATTCCTTTCACCATTAGAATTATAACATTCAGGGTATTTGCCTGTTATAGGCCCTGTGGCTTTATTTTCTAAGTAAACATAAGAGGGGATATGTGTCCAGGATTATCTGGTCATCTTGGACATTTCAAAGCATGCAGAGTATATAGAAGGACAAACAGATTTGAGAATAGGGGCTCATCTTTGAATATCATGACACAGTGGCCTTGTTGAGGCCAACTACTGGTGATGTAGTCAAGAAATAAAGATGATGTATATCACACTGTTATGTACACATATATACCTCCTGAAAAGATATAGGATACGGCCTGGAGTCAGGAAGACCTGAGTTCAAATCCGGCCTCAGACCAGACACTTGACACTTACCAGCTGTGAGACCCTGAGCAAATCACTTAACCCCAATTGCCTCACCAAGAAAAAGAAAAAAAACCAAAAAAATAAAATAAAATAAAAAGATATAGGATAGTCATTCCTTTCGGTGGGAAAAGTTGGTGAAATATGGGAAAAGACAAGAATCTTAATGTTATGGGCTTCACCAATTACCACCAATTACAGTCTATACTTTGAAATAAAAGTGAAAAGTAAATGATTAATAGATTAAAGGGATTTTTAAAACCCAATCAATTATTTCAAATTGCAAATGATCATAAGATGTATTGGGGCTAAAAAATACAAAAACAAACATAGCCAGGGACTTCAAGGGTCTAACATTCAAATAGTGGAAAATGACATATAGTGGGCAATGGTGAACAGGGAGAAGCACTTTGCTTCATAAAGTTATAGTGTTAGTGAATGGGGCAAAAGGGAAAAGTCTGTTTGACACAACCTTACAATGGCAAAATTGATTTTCATGGTTTCTGAAATGGAGGGGGTACATTATTGAGAGGTATGGGAGATGAGGTATGCACACGGCAGCAAAGTCTCTGGCTAGTCTGGGAAGATGATGGCCCAGGGAGAAGACAAAGAAGGTCAACAGAGAATGTGGACAGAGGTATGTGCCATCTACAATATTCCGTGAAAGCCTTTTGGAAATCCTCAGGTGACATGTCATATTGGCAGTATCCTTTTGAGATACCAGAACTACTTCCATAATAGGTAACCGATTAAATACACCTTTTACATACTGTCATATTCTTATTGAAGATTTTCCCCATTGGATGTATATAGCAGGCCTGCACAACCTGCAAGCCATGGGCTGCTTGCCACCTGCAAAAAACGTAGAGGAAAACATCCCCTAAATCCTTTGGTGTGCCTGTGGGTTGCTTACAGCCAGCAGGCCTCAGGTTATGCAGACACGATGATTCTCAAAAAAAAAGGAGTTATTTCTCTGTTGTTGCTTCGTGTCTTTTCAATTGTGTCCAACTGTTCATGACCTCTTTTAGGGTTTTCTTTGCAAAGATACTGGAGTGGTTTGTTATTTTCTTCTCCAGATTATTTTACAGATGAAGAAACCAAGGCAAATAGTGACTTGCCTAGGGTCACACATCTAGTAAATGTCTGAGGCCAGATTTGAATTCAGGTTTTCCTGACTCCAGGCCTGGTACTCTATCTACTGCATTACCTAGTTGCCCTGGTCATTTCTCCAATATGGTAAAAACAGGAAGGAGCAATTTAGCTTTGGATCATAAAGTTAAAGCTGTAAGAGATCTAAAAAGTTATAAAATCCACTCCCCTCATCCTTTTCTTTTTACAGATGAGGAAACAGAGACCCAGAAAGACTGTATAACTTGCCTAGAGATGGTGTCAGAGCCAAAATTGAAGCATATATCACCTGACTCCTAATTCAGAGCTTTTTCCACTTTCCCAAACTTCCTCTTTCATGTAAGTAGGCCTGATGAATTATACCCATTTATGATCATTTTCCCTGATTTGCTATTTGCACCTCTTAAGGAAAAGTTCAGGCTACTCTAGTTAGACACCTCACTCTAACTGTTGTTAAAAGTCCCACCAGAATGCAAAAGGCATACCTGATGTAAAGGAAAAGAGGCTATTCTGAGCACTGCAGATAGGGTAAAAGACAGTAGTGGTCTTGTATTTTGCCCTGCATTTAGGTACTTGTACTTCAATGGCACAAGCCTAAAAGCTGTAACTCTGTTCTATAAACTTGGCGGGGCTCCCTTCATTGAAGCATCATCTGATAAAGAGATGACAGCCTACATTAAGCAAGTGAGTGCACCTTTTTTCAGAAGACTGGATGGAAGGCTAGCAGAGCAGTGTGACAGGAAAATCAAAGCTGAGGAAGCTACTGAACAGCTGAATTACTCTTAAAGATTAGAGACTGGGACATTGTCCTCTTTTCATATTCACTTACTGGATAAATTAGAAAAGTCTGAGCTCCAAATTTTCTCTTTGTTCAAAATCAAATAGTGGGGCAAGTTCAATGACAAGAGGTCACAGGAACATTGGCTCAAGTAAGATTGTTCTCTCAGTGTCCTAAAAATGTGTTATGTACCCTGAGTTCTTCCTCTTCTTTGTATCTCCTTTAACTTTAATAGCTGAAAACTTCGCGAAGACTTTTGGGACACCTGGATACAGTAGGTTCTCATTAAATATTTCTCAAATGAATGGACTCCTCATCCTCACCACAACTCAGCTTGTAAAAATTCCTCCCTTCCCTCAAGGCCCTACCTAGGGGTCACCTCCTCCATGAAACCTGAATTAAACCCATGTAAAATTCATTTCTCTTGTTTCAAATTGCTCATGGCATTTTTCCTGGATCTCTCCTGTGCATTTATCCATTCTTCCTTCTACCAATTATTTACATACATGTCATCTCCCTATTATGATGTCAGCTCCTTGAAGGAAGAGTCTCCCTCTTATTGTGTCTTTCTATCCCCAAAATGGAAAGGTAAGGTTCATAGTTAACAGAGAACCATCCTGAGAGGTAGAAAAGAATAGGGTTCAAGTCCCCACTTCTTACCTCAGTCAATCACTCAATAAATATTTATTAGCACCTACTATGTGCCAAACACTGTGCTAGGCACTTCAGATTCTAGTTTAAAGAATGGAATAATTTCTGCTGACAAGGAGCACATCCTGACTGTGAGACTCTGGTCAAGTCCTTTAGCTTCAGGCCTTGGGCAACTTTATCAGTCTATAAAAGGCATGGTAGTTGTCAATCTACATAGAGTTTCTTCATCAAGAGCTTCTTATGTCAGTGAAATCATAGATTTGCTAAAATTTTTGAAAACTATACAGATAGGTGAATATGCTCATACATACACATATGCATGCATACATGCATACATATATACATACATACATGAAATCCCGAGCACATTATAGGCAGTTAAAATGATTATTGAATTGTATTGAATTGACTAGATGAATATATGAATGTTCCTGGCTTTTGGAGACTAATGTTGGGAACGCTTTGCAGAAGGGTGGGGGCAAAGAAGTTCAGGCCTCTCCTTGAAGACAATGCTGATAGATAGTATTACATTTTAGATTTTGATCCTGGATGCTTAGAATTGGACTAGTCAAGAGCTTGGATAGATGATCTGGCAGCTTGTTTCAAGAAAAGCCAGTCAAGCATGAGACAGGGGAGTAAAGATTAATTCTTTCCAGCTGTGACATCCTGGGCAAATTGCTTAACATCTCTGAGCATACTCTTCCTCATCAGCAAAATGGGGGTTAATGATTCTTGCAATATTTGATCTGGTAAGTTTTAATAAGAATCAAGTAAGATTCATATGAAAAGGATTGTGTCAACTGTGTAATGCTGTGTATGCATTTATTATCACAATTATTGGCAATCATAATACTATACTGCATAATTTTCAAAGCATAAAAACCTCATGAGGCAAAATGGTTGCAAGTACCTGCCTTGATCATAAAGAAGAGGCTAAAAAAGGTTAACTAGCTTGCCCAAGTTCACATGCCCAGAAAGGGAGAGAACTGGAATTCAACCCTTGATCTTCTGCTTTCAAATTCAGGACTTGATATACTACATTAGGACAGATAATACTAATTTAGGGAAATTTTGGTTAAGACGTTAGTAGCTATGTACAATGCATATAGCAGTTTGAAATTGAGCTTGAAAGGTATGTTCTTCAGTGGCCCCCATCTGCTTGACTCACAGAGTAGCAAGGATCCACAAATATTGATACGATCACTTAAAGGCCAATCCTAAGGAGATTTGGTGAATTAATCTAATGGAATCTTCCATCACACATCTTTACAAACTCCTCAGGGGTTCAGTACATGAGACAACTGTAGAAATGTACCTTGGCTTAGTGGGAAGGGCAAGTGAGTCTAGTCCCAAAGAACCATATTACATTGAATGGGTCAAAGGGTAGGCAAGTAAGGAACTAAAGTGATTTTCTGAAAGCATGCCAGAAGCAATGCAAAAATCAAAAGCCACTGAGAAATAGCTAGAGTCAACTAGACCTGCTGGTTGGGTTTTCTGGGCAGATGTGACCTTGTTTACACACAAATAAACTGTCACAAAGACCAAATTGAAGAAATGTAAGTAGTATCTGGCCCTCCAGTTAGAAGCACTGGGGAAACACACACACATATACACAATCATACATATACATGCAATCACACATGTAACAGTCTACAGATGTAATTACTATAATAGAGAATATTGTTTGTGAGTTAATTTTGGAGCCAAGCTGGAGATCCAAGCACCATTATTATTTTCTAGCAATGAAAAAAGGGGCTAGGTAGAGAAAAGGAAAATTGATACTCATGCTGCAACATTGGTTTCATAGGTTGCATACAACAAATCTAAATGCAGAATTACATTGGAGAGGTTTTGTAAAGGATAACACTAGAAAAAAAAAATTACTGGGAATAAAAATATAAACAAAAATTAGTCACTCATATGGCAAGAGTGGAAAATACTCAGCGGATTACTTATACACCATTTTAGTATCCCCACAATGTCAGGAGACTTTGCAGTTGGCCCCATTACATTGTTTGGACTCCCTGGCATGGATTAATCAAAGTATATGACTAAGAGTCACATAGATTGGTTAGGCATCGATGAATTAGTTGTCATCTACATTATGGGAGGGCATGCCTACTTCAGTAAGATCACAGATCTGATCTATTAGAGAACTAGAGAATTGGGATCTAGGGAGCAAGAGAGAGCTATTTGAAGCACAGCTGTTTCTAGTCAGTGATAGGAAGATTAGAAGTAACAGGCCTACAAAGTTGTCTTTGAGAAGCTTAGCAGGTGGATGGTGACAATATCTTTAAGCACTGCTGTCTGTATTAGGATATGCTTGTTGTTAATCTGGAAACTAAAAATCAGGGGATTTCTATCCTTAGGGCTTACACTCATAACATGATTTTCCAAGTTGTATTTAAAATTAAATCAATGAATATTTCTTTCAAACAAAATAATATGCAAGCTCCCACTGAAGAGGAGCCCAAAGCATTGAAAAGTTGATGTTCTAACATCAAAGCACTCTGCAGGACATACCAAGAAGTGTTGAGGATCAAATGTTTCTGATATAAATTAATTCCCATCAGCTGAAAAAACTGGCTGCAATGAAACCAAAAAAAAAAAAGTCATGGAAGCTATAAACTTCAATGCTGTTATTTATTGAATGCTATTATTACACCAAGGAGTAAATTTTCAAAGCGTTTATGGGAGCTGGGCAGCTAAATCCCCTTACACTGTTTTGAAATTTTGCCCACAAGAGCTTAACTACATTTGCAATAACCCTGCAATTATTTTCTGTCAGACTTCAACCCACGTTTTTAACTTTTAATTATAGTGTGTTTTGTTTCATGCTTAATGTTACCTGTGCACTGATTTCAGGATAAGTCATAGCGGCTCTTAGAAGGCATTCCTCAAATCCTGTGACATCATATCATATAACATTTCAAATTTAATATGGTCTCTCAAAAGCCTCCCATTCCATTACCAAAGTTGTGGTGCTTAAAAACTGTAGAACAGCATAGCATATGATATAGGTAGTCCATAACATCTCATGACCTTCAAAAGCTGAATGAAGAAAATCATGCAGAAAACTTATATTTGCATCAGAATAACATTGTCCATAAGGCCATGAGAGACAGGATAGTCCTCAGCAGCTGTCCTTTATAAGTAGTCAGAGTAGGTAACTGCTAATTTGCTGGTCTGAGAGGGATTCTTAAGCGCCTCCTTCCTTCTTCCCATGCAGAAACATTTTCTTCATGGTCCTAGAGAGAGGCAGCATGGTGCCATGGAAGAATCCCTGGATTTTGAGTCAGAGAACTTGGGTTGAAATCCAAACTCTGCCACTTATTACTTGTTTGACCTTGGGCAAGTCACTTAATCTCCTTGGAGCTCAATTTCCTCAAAAGTGGAATGAGGGAGTTCAATTAGATGACCTCACTTGTCCATTCAAGTTCTAAATCTATAATCCCAGAAAAGTCTCCATCTATCACTCCTTTGGGTTAAAGATTTAAATGTTGCTATTAAAATGAAATGATACCTCTAGGAAGAGTAAAACATAATTCATTATAACCTCTTATTTATTCATGAAAGGTAGCATGACATAGAGTGTAGAAAGCTGATTTGAGTCAGAAGACCTGAGGTCAAGTGTTCCAGCTGATAAATCCTCACTCTATCACCATCAGCAAGTCACTATCCAATGCCAAGTGCCTTAACTTGTATAACAGCACTAGGCTGAATTGAAAGAAGAAGTTTCCTCACAGGGACATCCCTGAATTGCTGAAATCAGAAGTCCTGACCAAACAAATCTATTAATCTGTCATAAATATAGTAACAGACACAATTAGCCATTGATTCAACAGGTAATAGGTTTCAAGAAAAGGAGTTACATAAAATTGGGATAAGTAGACAGAACCTTGCATGCATTTTCATACTGGCACATATAGACTCTTTCTCTGCTATTTAGGAAAGCCTTGAATCTCAGTTTGCCTTAGCCTTCAGTACCCTTTTTCCAAGAGCAAAAGCTCAGGTAAGCATTGACAGCTTTGCACCCCACCTCATTTCTATAATTTTATTCAGGAAGGCTAGATAGTGTAGATTAAATGGGCCACTGATTGTATGTATACGGATGTCTTCTCTTGAGCAAATACTTCTCAGTTCTCTACCTTCCCTCCCTGGGGTGTCATGAAGACTATTTGCCTTCTCAAATATATTCACAACAGATGCTCTGTAATACTTTAGAATGGGAGAAGATGTAGGAAGGCAATCTGCCAAACACCCAGATTTTTACAAGCTTTTTTGTAGTTTTAAAATATCTATACCTAGACAAAAAGTATATATATATATATATATAACAATAGCCTGTTATAGACCTAGAAGGAGACCAACAAGTTGCAACATACAGATTTCATACAACTTGTAACCTATACCTCAAAACTAAAATTTAAAGTTGACCTTTGAAATAATGACATATTAAGTCAAAAGTCTAACAATATCATAATAATAATGAAGGTGAAAAAAATCACAAATGAAAAAAGTGGTTTAACAAAAACCTGAGCCAGTTGAAATCATAACTATTCCGGCTAGAGAAACAGAAAATCAAGCCTTAGCTTACTTTATCCAGCAAAGAAAGTGTCATTCTTAACTGTGATACCATTATCCTATCACGCAATTCTTCAAGAATTGCATGTGAAGAAAACGAATCATACATTGATAAATTAGGCCACCATAGCTTGCTTATGAACATCATCTCAATAATAAATAGCAATTTAATGACTAACGGTTGGCTTATCAAATCCTAGAGGGTCCCTGATGATTTGGTTTACATTAGGCCATGCAACTATGTCTTAAGAAAAAAAAATTCCTGATGATATAAACTATTTCACAGCTGGGCTAAACAATTCCCCATCTGGCTTGATCATTGTTAAGCATTTTATTAGCATTGCCATGAGCATCATAAAGAAAGCTATCCTGGGTTGCCTGAAAACCATTAAGTGGTAGCAAAGAAAAACCTGCACACCTGCTGACTCTTAGGTCATATTGACTGGCATGAGGTCTTCATTAAAAAAAGGAAGGTTGAGAAAAGTGTGCAATGAGGACCAGGGTCTACTTAATGGGCCGTCAATAATAAGTGCTGAAAAAGAAAGCACTCCCTAACATCCTTAAATTGACAATGGAAAATTCTATAGCTATATTGTTGACATGAGATCAAATCAAAATTGAAAGGGATCTTGAAATCAAAATTGGAAGGGATGAAACCTGATTAATATGCACAGATAAATGTCATAAAGAAAAAAAACATTAAGGGAAAAAAATATCCAAATAAAATGATCAAATGTGACCTGTTCCATTGTGTCCCCTTTGTCCATTCAGGGAATAAAACAAACATTTATAAATCTCCCACTATATGCCACATTCTTTTTTTTTTTTTACATATGTCTCATTTGATCCTCATAACTACCCTGCAGAGTAGGTACTATTATTATTCTTATTTTATGGGCGAGGACTCTGAGGTAAAATGACTTGCCCCAAGTCTTACATCTAGAAAGTGTCTGAGGTAGGATCTGAAGCTGGATCATCCTGACTCCAGACTCTATTCCCTGTCCCCTGTACCACCAATTGCTTCTAGTGGCCTTCCTGTTCCTGCTTCACAGATGCTTGGTTTTGCAGATCTCAAATGCACCCATGCAATATTAGGCATTTAGTTCTTGCTCCCATAACTAATTACCATAATACAACTGAAATACCCTTATGGGCAAGGAGTGTCTAATAAACTTTGAATCTTTTGGCTAGGCAAACAGTGAGGGCTTAATAAATGTTTGTTGAATTGGAGGAAGTTAGCCCAGTGGATAAAGTGCTAGATTTATATGCTAGCCAAGGAATGCTGGACAAATCACTTAACCTCTCTTTGCCTCAGATTACTTATTTGGAAAGTAGAGATAATATCATCTGCTTAGAAGGATTTTGGGGAGGATCGTAGACAATGATATAATTAAAGAGCTTGGCAAACCTCAAAGTAATATTGTGTATGTTCTATTCTTTTCCATCTTAGGTTTTATTTATTATTTTAATAACTCTTTTAAAAACAATTCCATTGCTTTGAATTTTGTTGAATTGGACATAGTTCTACTCTCTGTGCTGAGGGAGATGGAGATGTGATTAGTCTCAATTTAAAGATTACATCTGACTAATTAAGTTGCTGAGCGTATAAGGGACTGCATCAACTTAATAGTCCTTCATCTTTAAAGAGAAAGTGGACAATAACATCTTGAGGTTGTTGGAGGGGAGAGTAATGTTTCTGGAAATAAATAAGACTAATTGATTAAAGGGCAAGGGAGGTTGCTCAGCAGATAGAGCATCAGGTAGAGTCAGGAATACCTAAATTCAAATCTGGCATCAGACATTTACTGGCTGTATGACCCTAGGCAAGTCACTTAACTCTGTTAGCCTCAGTTTCCTCATCTGTAGAATGAGCTAGAGAAGGAAATGTCAAACCACTCCAGTATCTTTACCAAGGAAACACCAAAAGGGGTCATGAAGGGCTACAACTGAAATGACAGAATAACAGCAGGGTCATAAATGATTGAAAGCTGGCAGCATCTTCAGCGGCCATCTGGTCCAACCCCTTCATTTCATAGATGAATAAGTAAATTCAGGACCAGGGAGGTTAACATTCCTGGTCTTGAAAGTAGTAAGTGATCTCACAACAGGTCCCCAGCTCCAGTCTCATCCTCATCTCTCTCTCAAAAATAATCACCTCCTTCTTTCTTGGGAAGATTTAAGGAGTCCACCAGAAGGGCCCTCAAAGCAAGTTGGCCCAGTGGACAGTCATGTGGCCCAAAAGTTAAAAAGATGATTTCAAATCAAGTTTATTCTCTTCTTCTCCTTCCTTTGTAAACCTTAAATGCTTATTATTATCTCCACATTTCAAATCCTCTCTATCTTCGTCCATCTCCTTCTCATTGACTCCATTTTAAAGACTGAAGTTGCTTTTTTTCTTTTTTGCTCTTGATCTCATCCCATCTCACTTTGATGAGTTTGCTGCTCACATTTCCCAATAGCTTCTTCTTTACTGGCTTCCTCCCACTATATGCAAACATACTTTTGTCTCCCTTGTGCTCAGGAAACCTTCCATTGATCCAGCCATCTTCATAAGCTATTGTCTCTATGAAACACTTAAAAAGAACCAGTAACTGCACTTCATCGCAAACCTCATACTCCTCCATTCAGTGCAACCTGGCTTTTGACTTTTGATCCCAGATTATGAATAATTTCTGAAATGTTAAATTAAATTACTTTTTTTTTCAATGTCCTTGAATTTTCCTCATCATTTGACATAGTTGGCCACACTCTGATGCTGGACTTTGCTGTAATAGTAACAGTGGTTGTTTTCTTCACTGGTTTGTTATCTCCTTTTGCTTCCTAAATATAGGTGTTACCTAAAACTCTATCCTAGGTTCCCTGGTCCTGTTCTCTCTATCATCCTACTCATTGTGTTGTGATCTTATCTGTTTCTATGTGCATGACTCATAAATATATAAAAATAAAATTACTGTGTATATTTATAAATATATATATGTGTATATATATGTGTGTGTGTGTGTGTGTGTGTGTGTGTATGAATATATGTGCATATGTATATATCAGGCCTCAACCTCTTCTCTGGATTCCAGTCCTAAATTTCCAGCTGCCTGAATGGGTATCTCAACTTAGATGAAAAAATGGCACATGACCTAGGCAGCTCAAGATTATTTTATGATTGCCACTCCTAATGCCACCAGCCTTTCCTCCTAACTTCCCCATTTTTCCACCATCCATCTACCTTCCACCTTCCATCAATTTGAAATGTGTCTTATATGTCCATATCTATTTACATGCAATCTCCTTAAGGTCAAGGGATGTTTTAGCTTTGTACCCACAACCTTAAGCACAGCGTAGCTAGATGTAAGTACAAATAGCAAATACTTAATAAATTTTTATTGACTAAACGGCTATCCATATATTCACTAAGATTAAAAACTTCTCCCTCATCTCACATTTAATCATTTTTTTCCATCAAAGTAGAAAGAACACTGTATTTAGAGTCAAAGTCTGTTGTTGTTTAGGTGGTTTTCAGTTGTTTATGACTCTTTGTAACCCTATTTGGGGTTTTCTTGGCAAAGATACTGGAGTAGTTTGGCATTTCCTTTTCCAGTCCATTTTACAAATGAGGAGACTGAGCCAAACAAGGTGAAGTGACTTGCCCAACATCACAGCTAGAAGTATCTGAGGCTGGATTTTAACTCAGGAAGAGGAGTCTTCATGTTTCTTTCTTGGGAACTCTATCCACTGTGCTACCGAACTGCACAGAGTCAAATGACTTGGGTTCAAAATGTGCTACTGTCACTTATTTCCTGTGTGATATTGAAGAAATCAATAGACTTCTCTGAGTCTTAGTCTCCTTCCTCATCAGTAAAATTAAGGAATTAGAGTAGATGACCCCTATGAACCTTCCTAGTGCTATATTTGTGATCTTAAATTATGAACAGAATGCCATCTCCTTGTTTTGGTCTAGTTCACCAGCTACATGTCCTTGTACCTGTTTTCCATGGGTTCCACAAAGTATCTGTGAAATACATCTGATCAGCTTTGGGGTTCCTTGGCAGATTTGTTTAAAACTTTTCTTGCCTCTACAGAGAAGCATTATACTGGTACAGTGATGAGCTTTGCTGGATCAAAAGGAAATTCTGGTTTTCAATAGAATTTTGTCAGGCTTTGTTTTCTCTCTGTCCCTTCAATCCTACAATACTTGGTCTTTTTTTTTGTTGTTAAAAATAACTAGATTAATGCCAAGAAAGAAAGTGCGTATGGCAGACGTCCATATAATAACTAATCATAGCCAAAATATAATAGAATTGCTTTGTATTTTTGGATCTGCATATTAGCAAGGAAACTTTTTTCAAAGTTGTGGCTTTTTTGTTTGTTTATCTGGTTTGGGTTTTTTTTGGTTTGTTTGTTTTTTTCTGACCCAGTTTCAAGCAAACTCCCTAA